GGGCGGACTGCCAGGCCTGTCTGTGCCTCCTTGCCTGTGCATAAGCTGCACCACCTTCCTGGATGGTTTTCCCCTCTTTTTCTCCCTGTGAGCTCCTATCCCTCCTCTAAGGCCCAGCTCACATGCTGCCTCCTCCAGAAAGCACTCCCTGACTGCCAGCCCCTCCCAGAATGCATCCTGGGCATATATTTGGCCCTTCCACACTGCCTGATGTCTGTTTCCAGGCTTGTCCCACTGAGCTGCAGGCTCCTTCAGGACAGGGTCAGATCTTACCACTTCTACATTCCCCTGCCCCTTGCACCCAGGATGTGACACGCACACAGGCACGATCTGCACTTGAGGGGTGAATGGTGATGTCCTTATAGGGAACTGGCCCAAAACAAGGAGCATTGCAAGGTCAGTGCACCTTGGAATGTCCACTCTTTACTCTGTCCTGATTCAGGTGGGGTTTCTGGGGCTCTCCTCCCTGCTTCCCAGGAATAGGGGCCTCCCAGCTGCTCACTCACCCCATCACGGCCCTGGGACAGGGCTGCCCGGCATGCCTCTGACTCCTGGATCAGGGGCTCTGTGGCCAGCAGTTGTTGCACGCAGGGCCTGGGCACGGCGTCCAGGTGCACTAGGCTGAGCAGCTCAGGCAGGTGGGAGGCTCGGGCCTGTGGGTCATGGCGCACCCAGCGCAGCAGGGCCTCAAGTCGGCTTTGCTCTGGCTGCACCTGCAGCAGGTCACTGGCCAGACAAGTGACCAGCCGGTCTCGAGGAAGCTGCAGGAACTCGTCCTCACGTGCCACAGCCTCAAAGTTCTCTCGCAGGAAGGCCCAGGCCTTGGCAGCCACGCCCAGCAGCCCTTGCTGCTCCCCAAACTCACAGATGCCCAGGCAGTTGGCAGCATCCAGTTGCTGCTGCAGGTAGCGGCCGCAGACCTTCTGCACCGAGGGGAAGTGCAGGCGTGCAGCCGTGCGTGTCAGCGCCTCCACATTGCCCTGGGTGATGGTCAGCCGGCCTGTGTACACGAAGTCCACCAGTTGCCCCACCACAGCTGGCTCCACGTCCCGCAGCTCCACGCGCGCAGAGAAGCTCTCGGCAAAGTCACCCGCAAACATGGCATGGAAGTAGGGGCTGCTGAGTGCCAGGAGGCCACGGTGGCATGGCAGCTCCCGGCCGCCCACCAGCAGTGTGACATCGGCCAGCTTGGGCTGAGAGCGCAGCCGCTGCAGGCCCTCCAGCATGTCCTGGGCATGTGAGGGCAGGTGGAAATCCAGGTCATCCACGTTCCGTACCATGATGCTGTGCCCACGGGACCCTCAGCAGCCCACCCACTCAAGGGAAGAAGTGCCTGGAGCCGCCCGAGCTCCTAGGAGAGAAGAGAGCAGGGTCAGCCAAGTGGGGATGGTCTCATCCTCCTGAGTGACCCATCCAGTCTGTCCATCAGTCCTTTCCATCCCTTGATAAACACAGGATGAGCATCGACCATGTGCCAATCACTTTACTCGCCATCTGCCTCAAGCCACCCCCAGAACCCTGTAAGGTAGGGCAGGTGTCATCCCTGTTTGCAGTGAGGAAATTGAGGTTCAGAGGGGTGGGAGACCTACCTATGGCCAGGCATTCGGGGCAGAACAGGGCTGGCAAAAGAACCCATACCCTGGGTCTCGTCCACAACCCTGGGCTACACTGAGCCCACCCCCAGGGGCCCCGGAGGCACCCAAATTCCCGGAGGTGTCCTCTGTCCCGGATCCCACACTGCTGGGGAGGCCATTTGGGGGCTGCAGCAGCTCCTGCTCCCGTGGTGCTCCCAGGCACCAGGCCACGTGCCAAGCATGCAGAGAAGCTGTGCATTCACCACTCAGCCCCACAACAGTCCTGGAGGGTGGGTGTAATCATTGCTCGTTTTACAGCTGGGGAGACTGAGGCACAGAATGTTTCAGTCACTCGCCCAAGATCACACATCTAGGAAGTGGTGAAGCTGGAATTTGAACTCAGAGCTAGGCTTGGGGGCCCAGGCTCTGAACCCTGCACTCCACGTGGCCCGCTGGAGGTTGCTAAACAGAAAGGGCCAGCCAAAGGCAGCGTTCTGGAGGGTTTCGTATCACCACTCTCCTATGGTTGAAGTCAGCAAGGCTGCTTACAGGCTCATGTAATTATATGCATGTGGTTTATGTCCTTCTGGTATTGCACCCTAAGACAACCGTCCCTAGGAGAGATCAAGTCTGTGCACAAGCCTTTGACCCGGGTCACCCCAG